GGTGGGCCTGGGGGATCGCTGGCAGAGGCTGGTCTTGACCTTGCACGGCAGAGCAGTGGGCAGGCTCTCGCCGCCCCTCCTCTGTGTTGCCTTTCTGTGTGCTTGTTCTCTAGTAGCCAGTGCAGAATTTCAAGGGTTTAATTGGGAACAACAGTCGGCCAAGTTCATTTAGGGGGCATCTGGCAAGGGTCAATTGAAGAATAAATTAAAAGCATTAATTCCCAGATAGCATCTCTGTTAGTGAGCTACATACGAAAGGAAGGAGGTGTGGTTTTATTAAAACCTACCTTTTAAACGATTGGACTGGACTTATCCTCTTTGAAAACACTTATTACATCTATTTTTTGTCTTTTTAGGCTCAACCACATCATCTTCCACCATCCACAATGAAGCTGAGCTTGGTGATGACGACGTGTTTACGGTACGTTCTCTGTGTCCTTTGCTCTCCAGGTCAGTGGTGAGTACTCGGGCGAGGTTCTGGTTAAGGGCATGAGAGACACTTTGCAATTTGGCATGTGCTCTTGCAGCAGGGATGCCATCGTGGAGATCTCTGTCTTGTCGCAATTTTTCCTGGGCTGGGTTTTGCCTTTGTTGTTCGTGTTGCAGTGGTAGCATCACCACATGACCTGAGAGTGTCAACTCTCCCGGACCTGTCCCAGGTTCTCGCACAGTCTTTCCTCAGAGTTAGGATGAACAACCGCCTGGTTTGCCCAGGACTGTCCTACTTTTAGCATTGAAAGTCCCTGGTCCTACAGAACACCTCAATCCCAGGCAAACCAGGACAACTGGTCACCCACTCAGAGTGGAACACAACCGCCTCCCTGGCATCGACGGGAGCACCAGAAGTAGCCTTGCTGATGAGTAATTAAACTGATCAGAAAGGCCTGAAGGCTGAGTTGAGGTTGGAACTAAGTGTGCGAAGGCAGGAAATGGCTTGGATATTTTGACACAGCTTGAGTTAATGGGATATAACTGGAGATAAAATGATTTCTCAGCTAGCTTCTTCATTTAAGTCCTGGGCTTCTAAAAGGAAATAACAGATAGTTCATTGCACACCTACTGTGTGCCTGGTGCAGTGCTCTAGGGCAGCATTTTCACACTCTTGGCCTGGACCTACAGTATGAAATACATTTACGTTGTAACCTAGGGCACACACATCCAGGGACACCTAAAACCAGACTGTACTTCATGCTCTGCGTTATGTTTTTTCTCTCTGCTGTTTTGTTTTCTTCTACTTTTGATTATGGAACTTTTCAAGCACATAGGAGAAGTACAGAATAATCCAGTGAGCACTGTATGCTCTACACCTAGATTTGGCAGTTGTGATATTTTGCCCCATTTGCTGTATCTGTGCATGTATGTGTATTTAGAGATGTGCACCCCCCCTCCTTCCCTCCCTGCCCCCCACATGTATATTTTTGCTGATTAGTTAAAAATAAGTCACCTGGAATTACTTCAGCATCCACCTCCTAAAAATAAGGTGGTATTCTACACAAGCACACCACCATTCCTATACTAAGAAAATTCATAGGAATCTCCTGTCGGATAATAGTTCCCCAGTTGTCCCAAGAATATCTTTTATAAGCAGTTTTCTATTTCATATTTTAAAATATTGGTTGCACCCCTTTAAATGTGCTTTCCAATAGACTCCTCACAGCCAGTGATTTCGAAAAACTGCTTTGGGAATCCAGAGGTGTGTGGGTAAAGCGAGGCTACAGCCCTGGTTCAGGGAACAGGGTGGTTTGAACAGAGATGAGCGTGGCTCTGACAGGCTTAGACTGGCACAGACCGGAGAGTCCTCTGAACCAGGGGCTTTACGGCAGGGGAGGTCAGAGAAGACCGCTAGTGGGAGGCCCGCCCGGACCTCGGTGACATTTGAACGGGGCTCGGGAAGTGGCTTCAAGGCTGGGATCCACAGGGGCGAAGGCGGATGCCGGGATGTGCATGGTGAGCGGCCTGCGGGTCCCAGCCTGACGTGCGTGGGGGTGTCAGGAAATGAGCTCAGTTGTCCTTCCCTGGAGCGGCTGGTGTGATGTGGCTCTGAGCAGGCTTCCTCTGGCGCTCCGAGCAGATCTTCTCAGCAGTTGGCATGTTGCTTACATCTGTTCCTTTGTCACGTTTGGGGAGACAAACAACAGCAGGAGGGTTAAAGGTGGCTTCCTGTGCTCCAGAGCAGAACTGTCACCCGCAGCTGCTTCCCAGCTACCTGCCAGAATGATTTACAGAATCAGGAGCGGGCAGCGGGAGCCGGGCGATGGAAGCCAGCGTCCTCCTGGTTTTGCCCTTTCATCCATGGGGCATCAACATGCCGCTCTAGGGTGTCGCCGAGTGCCTGGAAGGAAGTGTAGAAACAGCCCTGCCGCTCCCAGGCCCTTGGAACTCACGGAGAAGGAGCCCCACTTACTCGCAATCCGTGTAGCCCTTATGTATAGGACCAGTGGCCTTCGTGCCATTCATTTACAAAGAAGGGACTGGTAACAGTAGTACCTCCCTTCTCAAGACAGCCCCAGTCATTAGGTCATTGAGGGTTAGAAACACATCCTGTGTAATGACAGGAGGGTCATCGAGGCTTACGTACCAGGTTTCCCATGTGTCCGCTCGCTCTCAAAATCAATTTTAAAATCTTTATTTAAAGAACACCTTTTATTGGTAAGACAGGCGTTTAGAACTCAGAACTCATTTATCAGTGAAA